TGTGCATTCTCTACCATTTAAGCCATGTCTCCATTACTGCCTTTTCTATCTATTTTGCTTCCTGATTAAATCTATATATCTGTCTCCTTTGTGTATTTTTAATTTATATATCCTGCTCTCCTTTGTTTTATATTCTCAAAATATTGTTATATTAATAATTAAAGTATTCAACGTTACTTAATAGCTCTTCTACCATCCCTCACATTTTAAGGACCTTAGCATGCTTAAACTTTTCTCTCCTTTAGTCTTTAAATTTCACCCTTTTAACATCTAAAACAGTCATCTGTGGTGAATGTTTTGTGCAGATAGGATTTGGTTAGATTGACTCATATTTACAGTGTTCTTGTTCATTTTCAGGCTACAATGTTTGCTTCAATTAGAAGCATACGTTTATATGTCATTGAAGGAGGACATAAAACTCTTGCATTTAAATGAAAATATCTTTATTTTACCCTCCTCCAGAGTGATATTAGCTGAGTATAAAAAAATAGATTAGTGACATTTTAATCTGAGCATTTTTGTGAAGTTATCTCATAATCTAGTGCCTTTGTGCTGAGAATTCTGCTTTTACTCTAACTGCTGTTGTTTTGGAATCAACATTTTTAAAAAATTTTTATGGGTTTCCTTATCTTTGGGTATTTTTAATAGATATAGGCTATTTTTAATTTATCTTTGATGAATAAAAATGTTTGATACTTGTTTAGCTCCTCAAAATATAAAGACTACATATCTTTTGTTAATTCTGTAAAATCTTAGCACGTTTTCTCCTTGAATGCATGTATTGTCTAAACTTGACCATCTCTCACCTTCTCAGGATCATAATTCCTTTGATTATCTCCTCTTTCTTCTGTATCTCAAGGATCTTAATATGTCAATTCTAAAATAAGTCAATATGCCCTGATATCTCACATCTAAAGATAAAACAAACAAATGACAACCACCACCCCCTTCCTTTCACCCCATTGAGCTATCTTCTAGATGTCATAGCTAAACTTCCCAATTATTGTTTTGTTTCTTTGATCCTGGATTCTATCCTCACTAATTCAGCAAGACTATTCTTGCTAAAGTTGCCAGTGATTTCCACACATTTGAATCAATTATTTAGTATTTCATTAATTGGACCTTTTACCATTCAGTATGGTGGCCCATTCCTTCATGAAGTCATTCTTCACCTTACCCATTGTCTTTTGAAATACTTTATTTTCTTGATTTTTCTATAGATGTTGGAGCACTGAGGATATGGGGTTGAGCATCTTTGTTTTGTGCTCACTGTTGCTAATCGTTTTTATCTATTTATCCAATTTAAAATACCGTGGTTATGGGTATTACTCTAGCCACACAACTCCTCTGAGCCATACAACTCCTGGGACACTCAGCTGAATATCCTAATAGCATTTAAACCTGGCTAATCCAAAGCTGACTCCTGAACTTCTTCCTAAAAATGTGTTTAACTCAACAAATAATATGGCATATATCTGGTTCTTAAGCTAGAAATGGGATTCATTTTTTTTAATTTCTGTCTTCTTCTAATACTTACATTTGTTCTATTATCAGGCTGTGTAATTCTTTTTGTAAATACTTTTTAAATAAGTTTTTTAGTGTGAAAATACTCTACAGAGGGGTTACAATTACATGAGCAAGATAATTAGTACATTTCTTATCAAGCATTGTTGCCTCCTCCTTTGTTTTTCCTCTACTATCCCTTTCCTCCCACCTCCTCAACTAAACTCCCCCTGCCCTGCCTAAATTGTAAAGTTTGTTTTTTTGACATAGTGTCTTGTACATCTCATTATTGCAATGGGTCAACCTGTATCCCTAGTTAAAAATTTGTTTTTTCCCTTCCCCTCCCCAAATTATACCAACATCAAATACAGTGAAATCAGGGGTTATACCATAAGGGAGGGCCATACAAAGCAACAAAAAATCATGTGGTACCTTATAAATATGTTAGAAACAATAGCAAGGAAGAAAAAACACCTGTGTCCCTATTGGGGTTCATTTCGCTTAACATCATCTTATCTGCTCTTTTCTGTGGATGTACAAGACACAATGTTGAAAATGAACTTCTGGGGGCGGGGAGGGAGGAATTGGGGAAGTGGGGTGGGAAGGGATGATAGGGCAAAACCAAAGGAGGAGGTAACAACACTGGATAGGAAATGTGCTCATTACCTCACTCATGTAACTATATATGTATCACATTTTCTTGATCCATTCATCTACTGAGGGGTATCTGGGTTGGTTCCATATAATTAGCTATGGTAAATAAGGCTGCAATAAACATAGTCATTCTGGTAGCTTTAGTATAGCTTTGTTTGTGATCATTTGGGTAACTGCCCAAAAGTGGGATTGCTGGGTCATAGAGGAGCTCTATGTGGAGTCTTTTGAGGAACCTGCCTACTGCTTTCCAAAGTGGTTGAACAAGTTTACACTCCTACCAACAATGCAGTAGGGTTCCCTTTTGGCCACATTCCCTCCAGTATCTGTTGTTATCAGGTTTCTTGATTATAGCCATTCTAACTGGGGTGAGGTAGAGTCTCAATGTTGTCTTGATTTGCATTTCTTTTATGGCTAGTGAAGTTGAGCATTTCTTCATGCGCTTATTGGCCATTCTTATTTCCTCCTCAGAGAAGTTTCTCTTTAAGTCTTTAGCCCACTTATTAATCAGGCAGTTGTTTCTTTGAGAATTTGTTGTATGGCTAGTAAAGATCTTCTTCTAGTCCATGGGCTTTCTATTGATCTTGCTAGCTATGTTCTTTGCCATGCAACCAACCTTTTGTCCAACCTTTCTTTGATTTGTTGTGTTTTCTTAATAAAGACCCAGGTTGTGTAATTTTATATTCAAAATGCACCTCACATTTATTCCCTTGCCCTCTCATCCTGGTCTCAGTCTCTGTTCTGTCTCAAGGATCTTCTACATGGTTTCTAAATCTATTCCACTATTAGCAGATTCCCATCCTTTTTAACATGGTGGTCAGAATAAAGGAATAAATAAAGGAACTTTCTGTAGGACTTAGATTAGAACCAAACACATATTCATCCATAAAGCCTTCAAGGTCTTTAGGACTCCCTCTTTCCTATGTTGATCCTTATCTCAATTTCTGTACCTCTCACTCTACATCTTCTGACAGCCCTGGCCTTCAGTTGGCCAATCATGTCAAGATCTTTTGTTCCTGCAAGGCCTCTGTTCATTCCTTCTGTTGGAATGTTGGCTCCCCTTTTTCTGTACAAAACTGGCTCTTCTCTTCCCTCAGGACACCATCCTGTAGATGCCTCACTGATCATCATGGGTAACAGTGGGCCCTCTAAATCCCCATCTTTTTTTCTTCTGTATCCCTCTTCATACCATGTTTTGATGTAGTTTACATATCGTTTTACACTTAACTGATCTTGCCATTTCAACAGTATATTAATAATCCACTTTATTGCCAAAACTAGCCAGCAACTTTAGTGTTTCTAGTGAAGCATTCATTATGAGTGAGTTTAGGAAATGTTCAACTGTTAGTAGGACATTTTACAAAGAAAATTTTTCTTTCATACTAAGATCAGTTTTAATGAGCCTTTGAATGAATCATGGCCTTTAGCCTATGAAAATGTAAGTACGCCCCAGCATAGATTTTCTGTATTCTTAGAAGGAACACATTGTATGTGTTGAGACATACCCTTGCAGAATACGTCTCTGTTTAAGTAGAAAACAATTTTGAAAGATTTGTTTCCTTGTTTTTCAAAACACAAATAGTATTATAGGCAAATTTCAAATCATAAACTGAAATGCAAAAGATAATTATAGTTCACTGCATTGCATGAATTACTTTTTCTTTTACTTATTAACTTTATCTCATTGTTTTTACTTACTTGTAAGTTCCATATAACATCTACCCGTTACTAGTGTGTATGCATAATTAAAGAGATCCATGTGATATTATTTTCCCTTAAATAGAGCTCTAATGAGTATCCTCCAAACTGTGACCCATTCTTTTTTTATTAAATAAAAGTAGTTTGTATTATATCAGCCCCTAGTTTATTAAATTATGGTCTGCATTTATTTTATTTTTATATGCCTTAGATAATTGACAATTTTCATTTGGAAAAAGCTCAGAACCTTTTCATATGTGCCCCTAATAGACTTACCTATGATGCATTTGGTGTATCATGGCCCATTTGCTTGCCTCTGCTTCTTGAAGTCTTTACTGATAGAGAACAACTATTTTTATTTTGTATTGTTTCTGTTTTAACTTATGACATAATATATGAGTCTGTTACAAGAGGAACTGTAGCTAAAGTCTGAGATAAAAATTATCCCTACTTTGAGATTTTTGAGCTATTTAACAACTGACTAACACATCAGCAGATATTTCATTGGCTGATGCCTGAGTCATCCTGTACTTTGGCCAACCAGGAATGATTCCCAACTTATGTGAAAGCCACACCGTGGCCTGCTGAATATAGGCTCTGTGTGTGGGGAAAGTGATTCCACAGACCCTATTCATAGCCTGCATTTTCAGACTATTCTTTCTTTCTTTTTTTTTTTTTTTTGGAAGTGGCTCATAGTTTTGGAACTTTTTAATTGTCCCATAATCATGTCTTATTTATACCTGGCTGGATATTCTATAGATAGCCAGAGTAACTTTAGCCAAAAGACATGGTAATTGAGTTGTGCCTTCCAGAACTTGCTGTGCTAAATGCAGGTCAGGTTATCTTGGGTATGAGCACACAGTGCCTTGTTTTGGGTGAAGAGTCTCATTTCTTACCTGATAGAATCTTACTGTTTCTCCACATTCCTTTCTAGCTTGGTAGCTCAGTGGAGGATTTCAAAGATCAAAGGACATCTCTGTTTTCTCCAGATCCATTTGTAACTCTGCTCATTGAAGAACAAGGTCCAGCCAGGGATGACTCCTGCTGATCCCATTGTTTCCCAAGATGATCCATGTGTCTCACATTCAAGGCCACCTGCCTGTAGATAAGTGAATCTCTGATACTATTTTTTTTCTTTTGTATCACAGGTCCATACATTCCGAGGCCCTCACTGGTGTGAATATTGTGCCAATTTCATGTGGGGGCTGATTGCCCAAGGAGTCCGCTGCTCAGGTAGACACAAAACTTTCTTTCTCCTTCTCTACTTATGTGTGTACTACCACCTCTCCAGAGCTGGAAAGTATGTCCACATGAACTCAAAAGTCTTAATTTATGGAGTGTTTAAAGCCTCTCTTGTGCAAGTAAAGAAAATTTATCAAGCAACTGTGTTTCTTTAAGACCTATCTGACTCCCCAGATGGTCAGTAGTCTTTAAGGTGAATATAATTAGTTCTACTGGGACTGTATAAATCAAAAAGCTATGCTTGTTTTCTATTCGATCTTACTAGAAAGGCAGGACATAAACCAAGTAATAATACTAGTGAGCATTTGCCATAGACACTAGGCTCAGCATTTGCCATTTATCATACCATTTCCCATCACCAAAGACCTTAGGGAAGATGCAATTATCTCCCATTAAATGAAAAAGGAAATGAGTCTTAGAAATAATTGTTAATTGCTTTCTGGCCACATAGTAAGAGGTAGAACGGGAAAAATTGAAAAGCAGTTGGACTCCCATGTTCAATTTTTTTTGCCATCAGATCAACAGTGAAACTATATATTTTTATTTGATATTGTATATTTTCAAAGTAGTTGGAAATCTAGAGTATTTAGCACTAGCCTTGAGCACAGAGAGGCTCAGGGACAGAGCCCAGGCTCTTGAGTTCAAGCCCCAGGACAGGCAAAACAAACAAACAAATAAAAGCAGGGAAGTGGAGATTAGCTCACATGATAGCACCAATGAGAGCATATACCTGTCCTTTGCTAACAGCAAACATAGTTCAACACATTTTATTAAGATGCATTGCACAGAAAAGCCAAAAGGTTGCCAAATGAATGTGTTCACTGAGCTTCCAAGGGGTTGTGCTGGGATCTGGAACAGCCTGCTCCAGTGTTAATCAAGTTTCCACTGACTCTAGGGTTTGGTTGTTTTTGTTCAAACAGTTCTTTGCAAACACTCCATTTATGGAATCTTTCCCATAGTGCCTATTTGGGATCTAAGGATCATACAGCCTCAGACTTCCTCTGCCTGGAATGCCTTTTCTTACCTCCCACTCTGTTCACAACACAGTCCCCTGCATGGTCACCTGGATGGTTTAAAGCATTCTGCGTCTGTATCCCAGATTCGTGAACCAGGGGGCAAATCCACCAAGAGACATCCTCTCCAGAAAGTTCAAATACTCTAACAGAAATTGACTTGCACAAAGTAAAGGATCTCCTAGCTAAATCACTGAGTAGTATAGACGAACAGAATTACTCACTGGTCCTAATTTGATCTGCTCAAGCTGAAACTTACCAGAAAGCATGGCTCATTGCTGGTATTATCCAATTTTTGCAAGAAATTAGTCCAAAGTCAATATTTTTTAACAGATGTCTGGGCTTCACATTAGCTGTGCTCAGCAACTTTATCTAGGATGAAGGGTTTGGGAACTTTTTTCAGGTTTTATTTTTTTTTTCAATAGAGCACATTCTAAGACAATAATATTAATTCTCTCCAACGGGTACTTTTTGACCCTGTGTTTCCTCCAAAGAGCCGAAAGGCTGACTGCAATCATTAAAGGTTAAAAGGAAGCATAGTCATTATTGTCAGTTCTCCATAATTTAAGTCTTTTTAACTAATCTAGACTTTATTTGTAGCACATGTAACACATGTATGACACATGTAACACAAGTATAAAATGTAATACATTTTATGCATGTTACACAATGCCTTTATTTCAATAGATCATCAATAGTTAACTCTACAAGGAAAACCATCTTAGTGCTTCAGATGTTAAATTGCATTTGTAAGAAAATTCAAAATGAATTACCATATGATCTGGAAATTCCACATCTGGGCATACACTCAAACATTTCAGTGTATAGACTATGCTATTTTATTGGTAGAGAAATTCTGTCAGTGGATACCAACTCCTACCAAGGTTTTAAATGTGTTTGTTGAGCTTAAAATTACCTTTTCAGCTTCACTTCTTGATATGAACTTTATAAATAATTAAGTCACCACATTATATGGTATTGTCATAAATTCTAAACTCCCAGATACTCACAGTGATGTAGATTTAGATGAGATTTCTACTCACAGGTGTCAGAAAAATGCAGGTCCAGGGAAGAATGGCCTCCCCAAATTGCTCAATAAGGAGAAAGAGACTGAAGCCATAGGCAGTTTTCCAGGAAGTGCCAATGGTCCTGGGCCGTTTTAGACCAAAGATTCCTACAGAAAAAGTAACTATGTCTTCTGCAAAGGGGACATCAAGGACCTAAGAAAATAATACAGCAGTTCTTCAAGGAAATAGAAGAGGCAATCCAAAAATTCATACGGAACAATAAAAGACCCCAAACAGCAAAAACAATCCTCAACAGAAAGAACAGCGCTGGAGGAATATCAATACCAAATTTCAAACTCTACTACTAAGTCAGAGTAATCAAAACAGCTTGGTACTGGCATAAGAACATACCTCAGGACCAATGGAATAGAATTGAAAACCCAGAAATGAACCTACAGACCAATAGCCATCTAATCTTCGATAAGGGAGCTAAAAAAATAGAATGGAAGAAAGACAGCCTCTTCAGTAAATGGTGCTGGCAAAATTGGTTAATCACTTGTAGAAAACCAAAGCTAGATCCTTATATATCATCCTGCACCAGAATCAACTCCAAATGGATCAAAGACCTCGGAGTCAAAGCAGACACTCTGAAAACATTACAGGATGGAATAGGAGAAACTCTAGGTCTCCTGGGCACAAGCTGAAATTTTCTTAATAGAGACCCAGAAACACAACAAATCAAAGAAAGATTGGATAAATGGGATTACATGAAATTGCAGAGCTTCTGCATGGCAAAGGACATATCTAGTAAAATCAATAGAAAGCCCACAGATTGGGAGAAGATCTTGACTAGCCATACAACAGACAAGGGTCTCATATCTAAAATATACCTGTAACTCAAAAAATTAAATCCTCCAACAACAAATCTTCAAAGAAACAACTGCCCAATAAATAAGTTGGCTAAAGACTTAAAGAGAAACATTTCTGAAGAGGAAAGAAGGATGGCCAATAGACACATGAAGAAATGTTCAACCTCTCTAGCCATAAAAGAAATGCAAATCAAAACAACATTAAGATACCACCTCACCCCAGTTAGAATGGCTATAATCAAGAACTCTAATAACAACAGATTCTGGAGGGGATGTGGACAGAAGGGAACCTTACTGCATT